TATGAATATTTTTGGAATTTTCATGTTTTTCAATTATTTTTGAATTTGTGATTTTTATGTTACTATTGTAACAATACTTAACAACTTAACAAAAAATTTCAACAAGAATGCAATGGAATAGTAAATGGTCTCTTGATTAAAGAGAACCTAATAATAAATACTGGTATCAGAAATACCTTTACATTTCTAAACAAAAATGTTATCAATATTATGATGATCTTACTGACTGGATTGCAATTAAAATTCATAAATCATATTGAGCAGAACTTAAAACATCTGAAGATTGAACTGCTGAAGTTGAAAGAAAACTCTTATCAGTAATCAAGTAAAAGAAAGCTTTGACACTTTTAAATTTGCTCTATATCATATTCATCCAACCATCCAAATTAAATAATGCTTAAAATGTGAAAAATTTGTTGATAAATATTATACTAGAGTATATTTTTGAATGAATGAAGAAAAATCAGCTGCTTGTAACAAATATATTCATAAAAAATAATTAAATTTTCTGGTCTGCTCACAATATGGAGATTGTAATGAGACTAAAAACATATATATTATTGGAAGCTATAAGAAAAGATACTTTTGTACCTATGAATATCAATGTATCTTTTGTTTAATTGTGAAGAACGGAGAAGAAACAATAGAACAATTAATAAACTTAAAAAATGAGGATCACTATTAGAAGTTTATGAAGAATATGATGAAATCAGCAAAGTAATCTTATCATGATTCATGATGAAAAAAGACTTTAAAAATGAAATTGAATATGAGAGTTCCGTAGAAGCCTCTGCAACTGAAATTTTTCAATTCATATATTAACAATTAAGTCCTATTAGAAGATAACAACTTGCTCATCTAGAATATATCAATGTTAAACTTTGTCAAGAATATCTGATCTCTTCTAATAATGAAAAATATAATAATTGTATACAATCTGAACTATCTGTCAAAATGAATAAAGAAAAATTAATTATAATTTTGGAACTAATTGAAGAAGAAGATCCAATAATTAAAGAAAGAATTGGAGAAAAAATATAATTTCTATTTCTGATCAACCTTCTCAAAAATAAATTGTTGATTAGGTAAAGTTGTTCTATAAGATTATTGTTTAATTAATAATTCATTTTCAGTATATATTTTATGTTGAATTAAAGTACTTCAACCAAATTGATGTAATTCAGTTACAAAAATATTAGCATTATCTTCCAATAGTTTGATGAGAAGTCTTTCTTGTTCTGTTGATAATTTTTGTTGTTCAATAACTTTTTCTTTATATCACTGCTCTAAAAAATATATCTGAGCTTCTTGATAGTCAGCTAATTCAAATTCATTAGTTTTATGACTAGATTGTCCAAGTTGTTCTCTAGTAGAGATTGATTTAAGTTAATCAATTGATACAAGTTGTAAAAATACAAGTTGTGCAATTTTCTGTTAAGATTGGATAATATAATCTTCTTCTGAGTCATTTTAAATAATGATACTAATATTTTCAGTATAGTCAAAGTCTATTATTTCATATTTTATATTAATTTTAAGTTTAGCAAGTGAAGAGCGAAACATTACTTAACATACAACTCCTACAGGAATTTTTATGACAATATGTATATCTATAAGAGTAACTTGATGAGGAAAAATTCTAATTGATCCTTCTTCAGTATAATAAACATTATAGTCAATATCTGTTGAATGAGCTTTTTCTGGTAATTTTTCTTTGTCTTGATCATTATAAACTTTTATTCCATAGTATCCAGTATTTTGAGTGATAGGTTATTATTTCCAATATTCGTTAAGTTATTGTGAAATTTTATTAAGGATAGAATAGATGTCATCAAATTTTTCTTTAATTTCAGTTCATTTGATTTCAAGTACCGTATCCATTGTATATTAAAAAGTTGCTGAAGTATTGTATAATCCAAAGGGCATAATATTAAATTCAAAGAGTTCTTCTCTGAAAGTGAAAACAGTTTTGATTTTATTTTCTTCTTTTATTTTAATTTGCCAATTTTCAGAGGTTAAATTTATTAATGAAAATCAGTATGCATTTCCAAGTGAATCTATTATTTTATTAATTCAATATAATGAATATGTATCTTTTCTAGTGATTGCATTTATTTTTTTATAATTAATACAGAATCTTTTTTTCCATTCTTTTTGAAGACTATAACAATAGGTAAGATTCATGAACTAATTAAGTATCAAATAATATTTGTATTTAACATTTGTTGTATTTTTTCAAGATTATAATTGAAAGTTTGTCAATATATATATTAATGTCTTAAATATATTTTCAAAAGATTTTGAAGAACACTTAGAATATCTCAACAAAATATTTTGCTGAATTCAAAATGCAAACTTAAAACTCAATCCAGAAAAATGTAACTTTTGCCAAAGAGAATTACTATTTCTTGGATATAATAACTAAAGAAGAAATCTCCCCTGATCTTTCAACTGTTCAGAAAATAAAAGACTTTCCTCAACCAAAAACTATCAAAGAATTAAGTTCTTTTTTTGGATTGACTGAATACTATAGAAAATTTGCAAAAGGATTCTCTCAAATTGTTGTACCACTTTTCAAATTACTTCAAAATCAAGAATTATTTATTTGGATAATGGATCAAGAGGAAGCTTTTCAACAAATTAAATATTATCTTATAACTGCACTTATTTTAATTTACTCTAACTTCACAAAGAAATTTTATCTTTATAATGATGTCTCTAACTCTGAACTTGGAGCTGTCCTATCACAAAAAGACAAAGATAGAAGAGAACAAGTAGTTGCTTATGCAAGTGTTACTCTGAAATCAAATAAACAAAAATATAATTATTGAAAAAGAAGCACTAGCAGTAATATAAACTGTTAGACAATTTTGATATTACATACTTGAAACTATATTTGAAATAATAATTGATCACAATACTTTAAGATAATTATTCAAAAATCAATAAAGTCACTCAGCTAAAGTAAATTGATAGATTATATCTCTTATAAAATATACTTTTATTATTACCTATCAATCTGATAGAAAGAATCAAAATGTTGATGTCTTATCCCAGATATATTCAGAAGATCACTAAAAAATAACTTTCTTCTTAACAACAACATGGACTTAATAACTTATTACAACTTATAATGATTTTTGGATAATAAAATGTATTCTGTAGAATCAACTGCTTAACAACAATGAAAAATACAAAATCAATTAAAATATTTTTTACAAATAGATAGAATATTATATAAAATTAATAGAAGAAAAAAACTAACAATACCTCTTAGAGTAATTAAAGAAAATGAAATGAAAGTTATTTTAATTAATTTACATTCAAATTCACTATTTGGATACTTTGAATTTAAAGGAACTTATCAATAAATTACAAGTAGATACTGGTGGACTGGTATGGGATCTGATATTAAAAATTATGTGAAGACTTGTGAAATTTGCTAATAAACTGGTGAAAGAACTACTAAATAATCTTTATATCCTATCTAAGAATGCTTGCCTAAATCCTTTCAGAAAAATATCGTCATAATTTCGACAGGTTACATACTAATTGTTAATTAGAATTTCGACATAATTTTGGTTACGACGGGTTTCAAAATTCGTCAGAATTTCGACGGGTTATTTACTAATAGTTTATTATAATTTCGACAGAATTTAGACAGTCACTAAGGGATTTCGGCAAGCAACCTTAATCCACATATATCTTTCTTATCTTGTTAATTATTGCAGTTATATGGTTCGTTATATTGAGATGTACATGGGGATTGGAGAGTAAAAGTGATCAATTCCGGGATGCGTGGGTTGGATAACGGGTATTATCTATTTGAACTGTGATATTATGTGTATACAGAAAAAATATAATACCTTTTTAATCATGTCTAATATTTGTTGTAGTTGTAAGGGAGTATCATACATGGATTGTATTGTTACACACTCCTTTATGGTAGTGGAGATGAGATTTCGTGGTGATCATAAATTTAAAAAATCAGATATCATCACTCTTGAACTGGAGCCTTCTAATGCATATGATAAAAATGCAATAAAAGTTATGGTAGATGGCATCCATAAAGTCTATGTGGCAAAAGACAAGAATGTAAGCATAGGAGATTTGATGAGACGTTATCCTCGTTATCGAGTAAATGCTCATGGAAAAAAGAACTATAACCAATCAGCATCTTTAAATATCAAATATTCTTGGATGGTCTGTGAAAGATGTCGTGATACGCTACAAGCATCAAGAGATTATGACTATGGTTATTAGATTTAATGATCTCATCATATTTTTAGAAATAAAACTTAGGTAAATATTATAGAGTGTTTTACACCACGCGATTTTAGATCTTTAAGCACATCATTCATCT